TGCTGGGTCTAGGATTCTGTGCTCTGTAGAGCTGTGCCTGGTACTGCCGAAGGTGGCAATAGAAAAAGTGGTGATGCTATGTGTGACAGAAACCGAGTCGATAATGAACAAATCGGTTTATTAAACTATGTGAGGAGAAAGGAAATTTTTGGCTGCTACTAACAGGTACTTGTAACGTTTGGTCCGCTTCGTGAGTCTGCTGACTCATAACTTTTCCCTAGGCCTAATACTTACTACCGAGTCAAGTATTAATAGCAGCCGTCACGCTATGATGTTGCTTCGACCTCCTGGCTAGTAAAGTCAGACCCCTGTTAAAACGATTTTTTTTCATAGAACGAACTTCGTTCTCACACATTTAACGATTACACGATTATCGTTCTTCAACCTCTGAATGTCGTCTTAATCAGGGTTTTTTTGTTAAATTGGTGCTAACTATGCAGCCAAAAATGAGAATTTCTGTAGAGCAACGACGTGCTCTGCGACGATGGGCGCACCGCCAGGTCCCAAAACCAACACAAAAACAGTGCATTGAGTGGTTCTTAGCTGAGTACGGCCATCGATTAAGCCAGTCCACAGTCTCCGATTCCTTGAGCAAGACCTTTGCGAAACTCGACGAAGCTACAAGTACTACTGCGCTACGACAGCGAGCTGGAAACTGGCCTGACCTTGAAAGTATTCTCCTGGAGTAGCAAATACGAGTTGAACAAGGAGGAGGGGTCACAACTGGCGATCTGCTCTGTGAGAAGGCAAAGCAGATCTGGACACAATTACCACATCACGCTAGCCAGCCGTGCCCTAAATTCAGCGCTCGCTGGCTTGAGAATTTCAAGAAACGAAACCATATTCAGAATCGGGTACGACACGGTGAAGTTGGTTACATTCCAGCGGCTGTAGAAGCCGAAATGGAAGCTTTACAGACAATTGCAGGAGATTTTGAGGAAGAAAACATATATAACATGGATGAGTCAGGTCTCTTTTGGAAAATGCTACCTTCACGTGGGCTAATGTCACAATCTCGACCCGGGCTCAAGAAAAACAAGGACCGAGTTTCTCTCTGTTTTTGTACGAGTGCTACAGGTTCTGACCGACTTCCCATTTGGATTATTGGCAAATATAAGACGCCTCAGGCCTTGAAAAACGTTAGTATTCAGACAATGGGTGGCAAGTGGAGGTGGAATTCCAAAGCATGGATAAATGTAATCGACTTTGAACTTGATCGTCGACTTTGTATATTGGTCTGTTATCACAGACACGGAAATAGATTCATGAGATTGCTTTATGAGAGGCTAGGATTAATTCCGATATAATTTGGTTGAAGACTTGTTCTCAAATTTAGAGGCTACAATGTCATTATATATCTACGTATTTACCCCCATATTCACCATATCCGCTAGCCATTCTATATCTAGCGTGCATAGCCTGATTTATCTCATGGTTCTGGGATGGAGATGTAGTTCCCGAATAGCAGTATTCTTTTAGCTACTACAATACGTAGCAGCTTCAGATATAGTTTACCGTGCAATACTTCCACCTTAGCTACATGCCTCCTTGATATACTGCCGGCTCGGTAATCAGTGAGATAACCAAAGCTAAACCTTAACAATAACTTTAATCACGAACCCATGAATACCTAAGACAGAAGCCTGCAATGTAACACAATTAGGTTAGGAATTGCCAACTACAACCTAATCCAAACAGAATACAACAATTATGGGCGAATGGCTCCAAGAATTCTATCGCCACATTGGAAATGCCCGAGATGTACTATTGGCAATGGATAATTTTTCTGCCCATTATTCTGCTGTTGAATTATACCCTCCTCCGTCAAACATCAAGATCTGTTGGCTTCCAGCTAATAGTACAAGCCGGTATCAACCTCTTAATCAAGGTTTTATTCAGAACTGTAAAGTATTCTACAGACGGTACTGGCTCCGCTTTGTTCTACAAGCAATTGAAGAGGGTACAGATCCACAATCAACTGTCAATATTCGACTAGCAATTCGCTGGATCTTACGAAGTTGGAATAACGAAGTTACCAATACAACGATTCATAACTGCTTTCGGAAATCGACGCTTAACTCCAAGCCAATTGCTCTTCCTATGTCTGTACTTCCGACTGGACTCTCTGAGTTGTTTAATGAGGTAGTCAGAGCAGGAGACCTACGAGACTCAATGGTAATAGACATTTTTCTTAATCCAATCGAGGAGGAAGAGGGAGAGAATCTGATGCTTGACGAGGCAGCGATCTTACAAGAGGTAATAGGGGAACATTTGGGAACAAATCAAGACGAAGAAGAAGAGGTATTACAAGACGAACAGCCTTTGCGGACAGCAAAAGAGGCCGAAATGGCTCTGAAAGTGTTGATTGATTATACTGAGAGTCAAGATTATCTTAATTCGAGCTATTTGAGAGTGTTAGAGCGATTAGAGACGGCAATTGGGAGTATAAAGGAGGCATCAAAAGTACAAAGTAGCCTACATAGCTGTATTAGATAATCAAATCCTTTTCAGCGATATCCTCTGTATGACGATATTTTTCACGGCCCCGATCACATCGTCTTAACAGGGGTCTGACGGTAGTGCCATTTCATCTATATTTGTCAATATTTCCTCTTTCAGTCTCATCGTAGTCATTCCTAATTAAACGCTTAGGTTTCCTCCTAAGCTCAAACAACGGTCAAAAAGTAACACTATGTATACTGTTAAGGGGCGAGAGAGTATACAAGATAGAAGTCACGGGACAAGATATAAACAAGATACGTAAGATGGAGTGTGGACAAGATACGGAAATCTAACGAGTCGCCGCACGTCCCCGAGACGTGAACGAGGACTACTTAAGGGTCTCCTCGGACTAGCTCGACGCTAGTGTCAATAATAACAACAGTCCTCTCTATTCCTGTACAATTGTGTTACTATGACAACTAGACCCCCCACCGCTGCTTAGGTATGCTTTCACCCTTTTATGGAGAGTCATGATATGAACCATGACACTTCACATCTTGAGGGAGGACAGGTAGTTGCGACGTGGGACGAACAAGTGAAGAGGCCACAAATTGGCATGCCGGGACGCAGATTTTTTCGACACAAAGGTGTTTGTGGTCACCAAAACCAGGATTTCGGAAAGTACTATCGAAACTTAAAAAAGGTAACGATGGAAGATGTTTTGGTCCGCCTCCTGGTCGTCATCTCCCTGAATTAAAGTCTGGGCAGCCTGGACACCTAACTCAGTCGAGAAAGGGAGGACGGTTAGACTATATAGAAGATGATAAAGGCAGATTAGTGTAGCCAAAGACTTTTTCTGTTTTCCCTTTGGTGGATATTAATGGTGAAGGGAAGGGTGCAAGTCCCTAGCACAAAAGTCCCGAGTGGTATCAGCGAATACACCCACTACATAAGTGGTCCAATTGCCAAACTGAGCTGTTGTTGTGTTGGAAAACCGGTATGGGTTCGATGAGTAAGGCGGCTCAAAGAATATGGGCGCGATTTTATGAATAGAATAATAATGATATGAATCGGGAGAATATGTGATATACTGTGGAGAAGTAAAAGATGGTTTGAATAAATTGAATTGATTTTGATTATCTGTCTTAGTGATTCTTAGACAGCTTATATACATGTAATCTTGAAAGACCAAATCCAGACTAGATACCATCCATCACTCGTTCCATACTCTAACAATGACAATGAAACGCACGACAGTATACAATATGAGTATGGGGTCAGGGTCGGTGGATGAAAGCCTACACGTGTATCAGACCATACCATGCACTAGTCGAGTCTCAAGCATCAAACATGCTCAGTAAGGGAGATATCAATCATCTAGGTCGTGAGTCATGTGTGAGAATCTTAGTTGTTCCAATCATGGGAAACTTCAGACACATAGAGTCTGAATTTCCAACATGTTGTTTGCAGTCTTCGAGGAAGGACTGGTCTTCTCCGTGACATACTCTATGAATGATTGGCTTATATCCGTCATGAATAAATATTTATCATGGATGAGGATGAAATTTCGAATTTTGGCGATAAGCTTCACAGATTGAGCTTTGTGCGTTCCAAAACTTCGGATGCGAAAGTGCAGGTGACACTATAGATACAGCCGCGGTTGGATGGTGCGGTAGTATATTATCTGGAGCAGGTCTACGAAGTAGAGTCTGGATAGCTTGGATATCTATCACTCTTGAGACAGGGGACCGCCGGTTCGAACCCGGCAAATCTTTATCATTTTTCTCTTACAGTTGGCGTGCTTAGATATTAAAGGGAGTTAAATTCCCTTTGGTGAGTACTTACGGTGGAGGGTTAACTGTTTGATTATGCAAAAATACCTCATGGTATTTGCGATTGAAATCCAGAGTATCAGTGTTTATAAGGTCGAAAGTTTTATCCAACATATACACAGAGCATTGATTATGTGTCATAGGTAGATAATTGAACACAAGCTAAATGACTAAAAAATAACGTGAAACGTGCTTAACGGCAATGTAATTTTTTGACGAACACGTGAATCGATACCAAAACTTTCAACGACGCTTTCGGGACTGTTACATGCTAGTGTAGAAGATACTGATTATTAAAAGATTTTGAGGTTCTTAAATGTCCTTAAACCATGCCGATGATATTTCCATAAACAAATAGTTCTGCGACGGTAAACCTAACTTATCTCAGATCCGTACACGGCATGATTCGAGATGATTTGGGGGGCTAATGAATAATGGCCCAAAAAGGTATAGAAATAAATGTAATCGTCCAGAGGGGTCTTAGGGGACGATGAAATTTTCTTTGGATATTTCAAATATTTGCCCAAAGATTTTTTATTTGGTTATGACTGTGCTCGGTGACTCAAAAATGGCCGAGACTGTTGATATAATGTTTATAAATAGATACACTTATACAGACGTGTATATCACATAGTTGAGTACCTTTCCACGAATATTCTTCTCGTCTCTTTTATTTTAGGCAAGCCAGTGCTATGACTTGTAATATTCCAAGGTTATTTTTAAGGGCTATTCACCATTTGGGGAGCTCATCGTTTGAGAACTTTCTTCACTAGGGGGTGTTGTTCCATTAACTTGCCTGCTACTAACGCTTTTTGATTCCGTTGTAGCCCTTTTGGTAAACGATGCCGAATTTCCGGTTGTTGAAGCTATGAATTGTTAGCTATTAAATAGATTATCAATTATGAATAGAGATTTTACTTTTTTTAGGTCTCATTAATTTTTTGACGGGTTTTGATTTCGGCTTTTCTACACTCATTTTTGTCATGCTTTTTAGAGTCCTATTTCTAGAAGGTTTAGAGATATAGCTATTATCTCCAGTATCATCTGCGTCTCCATCGTCATATTCATTATCGGTAATTTTGCTCTCGAAACTTAGGTTACTGGTTAGCATTTGACCCCCCATTTTCTTTACATTTAATCCTTTGAGTTTGGCTAGCTGGGTTTTTTTGAGAAGCTTATTTCTTTTTTTCTTTGGAGCTTCGTCAGAATCATCATCATCATTATCAACGCTTCTTTTCCCCGGACTACTTTTCATAGAGCTAGCCCTGAGGACTGGCGTTGAGTTCCGACTTCCTGGAGGCGTATGTCCACTTTGACTGCCAATTTCGTTCCCATTAATCATCTTTGACTTGGCATTTCGAGCCGACTCACGACTGAGACCACCGATACACTTTGACATGTGTTTGTTCATTCGACTCGCTGCCTGGAAGCCACCACAGTTAATACATTTAGCATGGGGCTCTTTGAGCTGAGTAGGTGGTGGTGATGAGCCGTCTGGATCTTGACTTCCGCCTAGAATTCCTGCCTTAAGTTGTTGCATAACGGGGTCAAACATATCCTCTTTCTTTCTACCACGTCCGGGACCTTTGGGAACAAAGGTTTGTCCATGAATATCATAGTAATCCTTGTCTATAAATGGTTTTTTCTTGCAATACTCTACTCCTGGCTTAGGTGCCTTGGCCCCCTTGCCAGTAGTTGGGTGGAGAAGACGTGGGAGGCCACACTTAGGGCAAACTATTTCTGATGTGGCTTTGAGAGGATTCTCCACTAGGTAGACATTACCATCTTTATATAGGGCTCCCGCAGCCTTGGTTTCTATTTTCACTGGCAAAATATCAGGCGAGGCATCATCAGCTAGATGTGGATTATCTTTCAAAGCTTTCTGCTTGACAATTACAGCTGCGGACGCGGCTCTCTCGGTTTTTGCTTCACGATGCGTCTCTAACAATAGGTCGTGAAGGATTCCATAAATCACATCATTTGTGATGGCAAAAGACTGAAAGGTGGTTAGCCAATTGCTCCTTGAATCTCAAATTAGATCATTAAGGTCCGAGAAATACCAATTCGTCCAGTACATCTTCAGGACCTTCGGGCTCAGGAATCAACAGACCCGTGGATTCGAAAGCATCAGCAAGCTCGTTACTCGCCATATTTTCAGAGACACAGCTCTCGTTCTGTGTACCGGAGGTCGAGAAAATGGGCGTTGGAATATGTGGCTCTGAGTGGTGCAGTCAACGCCGGAACTTTTTTTAATTTTAGAGACAGCATTTTTCTTTGTCCTTGCTCAAGTATGAGACCGCATCTTTAAAAAATGCTGGCCGAGAAGACAAAACTGTCAGTGGTATCACGGCCAATAGGTCGTTATCTAAAACCCATGCAAAAGGAAAGGTTGATTCTGCCGTAAGTTTGACCAAATGTAGCTGACCACAAGAGCGGTATTAGATTGGATTATATAAGCAGGTCAGCCCTTGCCTAGGCCTGTAATGAGCTCCGAAATCTAAGCTGTCGTGATAATAACATGCTGTCCTCATTTTAGTCGATCGAGTGTGAGACGAAGACCCAATAGGGAGTTCTGGAAACTCTCTCAAATTTTAATTCATCACAGAATGAATACTGATCCGCTTACTGCAAAGCTTCAACCTTCTATCCGCGCCTTCTTTCAGCCTCGCCAACCTTATTCGAAGACAGCTAATAGAGCTGGTCAGGAGGAATTGCCGTATGAACCCCCGTTAACTTCACTAGCACCATCTAGTGCTCCTCAACACAGAGGAATCCCTCAATCAAGTGACTCCTCAAATATCCCCAAGCAAGCAAATATCACTCCAATAACCCAGGCAACAATTCAACCTTTGCGGCGGATTAATGCCCTGCTCCTCCCAATCTCATACCCAGATTCATTCTATCACCAAGCGATATCAGGTGATTCCTCCACCACTTTCTCTCATGTAATTCTCTGGTCAGATCCGGAGCCAAAGGTGGTTGGAGGAATAATATGCCGCCTAGAAGATCCAGTGTCACACGAATTCCGACTAACCGACGCTCTCTTGGACACCAGTAGATGCTATGATATCTACATTCAATCTTTGGCACTTTTGTCACCTTATTGCGGCAAAGGACTGGCTGCAGAAGCACTAAGGAGAGTAGTTGATGCTGCAACCTCGTATCCTCGTTTGAGGATTGGCAGTATTTTCGCCCATGTCTGGACCAACAACACTGAAGCATTGAACTGGTATTCATCGCGGGGTTTCTATCGTGAAGAGGAGGTTGTGCATGGCTACTACCGCCGCTTAAAGCCTGACACGGCGTGGATTGTTCGACGTCGGCTGACCCCTACTGACTATCTTGGGGCGTCGACTTCAGCACATAAATCTGCATTTGCAGCGCCACCCTCAAAAATGCACGGTAAAATACTACATCCATCCATATCAGCCCATAGCTTCCAAGATAAGGGTCCAGATAGAGAATGGAATGACCTCCCAGACGATGTACTTGACAGATCGGGACCAAGAGTTCAAAACTTCTCAACGATAAAGGAGACAGTTTTACAGAGCTCAGATAGCACGGGTCGAGTTGAGGTTATTGCCAAAGCAAAAAAGAAACGGATATACCCAGCAGCAGCCTTCGGAAGTTGATTAATGCGTTAGTATCGTCGCTTCTTACAAAACTTTCTCTTAATATACACGTCACACACTCATAACTCCCAAGGCTGCCAAAGTTTTGTTAGTAGAGATTGGAAATTAATTTTAGGAATTTCTAGTATCCAAAATGACAGTGGTACGGAGTAACTACATTCACGTGACAAAAGATCTACAATTAAATTGATATCCTCTTGAGACCTGTTTTATAATAATCTTTCTTAACATAGAATCTCAAGATCTTCAAGAAGAACGCCCGATACCACTTATCACCCTTACAAAACTGTTCGAGAATTATAGCTGGTCCCTCTGGAAAGTGCACTTTGTGCTGATAAAAAGTGGGCTATAACCCGCCCGTCTCTGGCAACTTTACTCTCGAGACCCAAGCTCATTTCAAACGAAACATGAGTTATGATAATATCTTAGATCGGGGACTGCTTTTTTTTTGATTATAGCGCTCTCTGTTACAAGCGCGGATCCACAATTGGACCCTTTTTAAAGTGTCATCATGATTTCATTCAGGCAACTCACTCATTTTCAAGGCAATGATATGGAAATCCAATTCAAAAAAGCACCTTCAACACGCGTTTATTTGCAAAGAATGTCTCCGTCATGTACAAGCGCCAAGAAAGTGCGCTGTCGCTTTGTTAATCAGAGTGATCAACGTGACCTTTACTACGTATATTACGCAGAGGATAATGTCTTTGGGCCTCGCACTAATTAAAAATTGATCATTATGAGGCTGCAAGTGTTTATATGCATTTATCCCCGCATTCTATACCTCACTAGTCAGCAATCTATTGTATACCGTCACAAGTTATTATGTAAAATGAGAATTAACACCTTACACAAGGATAAATAACTCTTCATGTAATATTTATGAGCGTGATTGTAGAAATGATTTCTTATGTAGATAAATCTTTTTAGAACGAGAACTGAAATGTTACTTTTATTGAATTTACTTCCTGGCTTTAGCCTGAAGTTAGTTTTATCTCTCGATGAGATATAGTTCCCTCTGCAACACTTTCTTTCATTTGGAAATTGCAGTATTTCGATTGTTAGTTGGCCACAAGACAGATTCTGTCCTGATTGATTTACAGTTCTCGGCTAGGATTGTTCAAAATAGGGGACCATTAACTTAAGCGTTTGATTGGTATGGATATATCCCGTTCCCTCGTCCATTTTAGCGATCTTGCAACCAAGTAATTCCAAGGGTAGTTTTATAACATGAAATATTCCAACTGTAAATAGTTCTACTTATTTAAACTTGTCCGACAGGCGGTGAGTGAAAACAAAAACACGTGCTTATTCAACTTATCTTTAACTCTTACTTTGTTGCACGGTTCGGTCGAATTTGACACTTTCACATCATTTGTATGAGAGTTCGTCCCAAACACAAACTTGCTCTTCTCGTCCTGTCCCCCTTGGACTCGACTTTTCTCTTTATTATCCACGAGAAGATCAGTTCCCCACACTCCATCTTCGGTGTACTCCCACATTATTGGAAGGTCCCCCCGAATCCAAGCCGTCCCCCATAGCATTCCAAGAACCCCCGGTACAAGGTAGAGTAATGCGGGCTGAGCATGTTTTGTAATATTAAGAATTGCTAGTGTTACTATTAATCCTAACACGTAGCCAGTCATACTAATCCAGAAGTAAAATTTATGAAATTGACCAGCATGAAAGGTAGTCTCAATTGTTAATTTGCTGTCGAGACCTGAAGACCAAAAACGCTCGCCCCAAATTCCAGTTACCTCCAAGTATTTCGACTTGAGCACTTTAATACTCCCATCCGCATCAGGAGGGTAGCGTTTCTGCATTCGAAGATAATGCAGGTATAGATCAAAACGCAGTGCAAGAGCCACCATAATTCCGGGAAGCACAATATCGCCTAGGCCAAGCATACTTCCTCGACCTGGGCCTGGTATGATTAATTTTATCGGTACATCGAGAGAAGATGCTACCGTTACCATAAGTGGCGTGTAGAATACCATGATAATATCATAGAAAAACAATCCAAACAAGACAAGGCTCCCAGTCCAGAAAGTTGTTGGAGACATTAGCTGCAGAGTCCCGTAGCAGAATCCAAAAGCAATTAGATTAGTGTGCCACCAAGAGTGTTCTATTAAGTTATAAAGAATTATTGTTAATAATCCAAATATAAATCCCAGAAGATCACTAAGGCGGACCCGGTGAGCAGCATGATAAGTATTCTTAATGTAACCACGCAAGATCCAGTGCTTCATCAACGATGATCTAAGGAACCATATCTTAGATAACGTACTGGCAGATAAACTTATTGAAGAAAATGGCCCAGGAAAGGGATTACGATTGCGATCTATAAGCTTGAGATTTGACTGGGCCTGACTTGGATTTGATGATGTGATCTCTAACTCCGGAGGAACATCGATAAGGAAGATTTCTTTCTTAGTGGACCAGAAGCTGGGAAAGATAAACGTTGTAACAACGTTTAGAGAATCAGTCGTAAGTCGGCTAACTCCAATAACACCCACAAATGACAAGTATAGGTTGAGTGCACGGTTGAGAAGCTTGGGATCGTCAAGCCACTTGATAAGAAGGTATAGACCACTCAAGACAAGGCCAGCCATAATGGGAAATACTATAGCGTCTGATGGCTGAAGCCCAGGGACATCCGGTAGAACAGTGTCAATTTCATCATCATCGTCATCTTTTAATCCATATTTCTTTTCTCTATTTTCTGATTTATTTGCTGAAGGGGGACAGCGCAAGGATGCGTGAGCGCCTATGTAAATAGGGAAGAGAGCTGAAATAATCATGTGGATCCATGAGAAGAGAAGCGCGCGTTCTCTGAAGGCTGTGAGCAGCCATTCGATGATGATTTGTAAAGTCGGGGATTGAACCTGAAAATGATCGAGGATGTTGAACATGTGAGCAACAGCCCCTGTTTATGGAGAGGGGATAATGGGTCGATTGACAGAGGTGAAAATTTTCCCAATTACAGAATCTAAAAGTAGATGTATGAGAGTAGTTGCTGACGATAAAACTGTTGCCGTTCAAAAATAATTGAGCTCTAACTGATATCTCATGGTGTCAAGAAGCAAATTACGCTACTGTTTACCTGTCACGTCGTGTTGTCAAAGCCATACGAGTGCCACTGGATATCGCGCTAGCAATTAAGTGGGACATGTTTATTTGTTTACAGATGTTCCAGTCTCGTCCCGCAAGTACGGCCGCCAAAAGACTATGTCATTTACATGCAGCAGTTTTTCGAGATGACGACAAAAGTTGTTCTTCAAACAACAATGGTTGATATGATGTGGTACTCATATGTGGTAATGGCTGATAACCTACCTCTAGGGTTCTATAACCGTGGAACTATACGACAAACACGCCCCCAAGGTCAGTGTTCCACATACCAATCTCGTGTCCTAATATATTTGGTCTAAACTACTTAGACATGCACCAATTTTCAGACTCTTGCTAGTAGGGGATATTATGATGAAACAATTATACATAGAGTAATCCCCGATTTTATGTTGCAAGCTGGAGATCCTACTGGCACTGGACGCGGAGGAGATTCAATATATGGCTCGCCGTTTGAAGACGAAATTTCGCATTCACTGAAACACACCGGTGCTGGAATATTGTCTATGGCTAATAGCGGACCTAACACCAATGGTAGTCAATTCTTCATAACGCTAGCTCCCACACCTTGGCTAGATGGCAAACACACTATTTTTGGCCGCGTGACTAAGGGCATGAGTATCGCAAAAAGGTTGGGCCTAGTAAGGACTGGACCAGAAGACCGACCCGTCGAAGAAGTGAAAATTATAACAGCGAGGATACTAAATGAAGAGCCAGTCTAGTCGCTTTGTGTGCTCAAGGTTAACGCACAATACACTCAATCAATCAGCCAATTAATTAATTAAAAATGGTGTACTTCGGTTTGTACGTCTGTATCGATCAGGCTTTTTCACTAGATACGCTGTCCCTCACTCTCCAAGCAATAAGATCATCAGTCAAGCTGAATTCATCGACCTCATGAACTACTTTTGGACGATGACTTGTACTTAAGGACCTCTCTATCATATGATCTACACCTCCAGCTCTTAATGATTCGTGGCTTCCGTATTCATGAATTGAACAAAATGGGTCAGCTCCCATGGCTGCTATCTCCTGTAGCTTAGCACTTGTGCTTGATCGCGACCTTGCATGATGAAACTTTGGCAAATTCTGACTGTTCGTGTGGCATTCTTCACGCCATGCTCTCGATTTTGTATTTTTTTCGGGCTTCCAGCCATCGCCTCCATCAAAGATATCTTCAATGCATTGATCTGCCATCAACTCTCCTTCATGAGAAATCCATGATGCTGCCAATATCTGTCGATACATATCTTGGGCTTCACCCTGATCTCGTGATGTACTGATAGATGGTAGATCTATAATTGTCAGGATCCTACTACTCTAAGATTCGCGTGCACTTACTTCCAACTTCGTCCTTTCCATCTTGCTCCCCTGCAACAATTCCCGTTATTTTCCCGAATACCATTGCCGTCTTTAGCGGTGGTGCAATAAACTCTCTATCCCCATCCACTTGTCTCATTCCTACACCAATTCTCAGTGTACTGTTGATCTTACTATCTTGCATCAAGTATCTCCTCACAACGCTTTGCTCGCCATCCGTATCACCTTCGTCTACATATTCCGCGAGATTTAGGTCAATCTTCCCGAGAATTATTTTGTCTATCCTTCCAGCTATTGAACAGTCCTGCACCACTTCTAAGTTGATCAGGCATTCTTGAAGTTCGTTGTTCTTGTTAATAACGAGACGGAGAGGAATTAAACGGGTGTACTTCCATACTACTTTATGCTCCTTAATGACAGCTTTTTCCGTACGACCACGGTGTTCGGCAGCAGTTGAAGAAGGGAGGTGCCACTTTACAAAAGCAGCCCCAGTGACAAGTGGAACGTTGTTGAGATCGTATATCTACTTCATTCATTTGCGGTCCAAACGTTCCAAACAAGGCATGAATCTTACTTTCAAATATAGCTCGAATTTTGGCTACAAGATATTGTGAGCGCTGCTCGTGGGATACTGGCATATGAGGTGTTCACTAGCCTTTCGTGCTTTAGAAACTATTTTGCAGAATACTTGTCAGTCATGTATCCAGATAAATTTGTAAAATATAAAATATCTTAGGTTGCATACTCAATGGATTCATAAGTGGATGTGAGAAAACGAATGAAACTCGCGGGAATCTCAGGTTTATAGATGACAATTAACAACATCCTAAACTGATTGATTACTGTGTAGGAGAGATTTAATGACGTCATAATTTTTACATAGCCCAAGTTGTCAACGAACTATTCCAAAACTTTTGGACGAAAACCAATCCTTTCATGAAGAATACAAACAGTGCTGATGCCATTGCCAATGTTGTTTTGGAAGAATTCGCAAAATGGCCGGCGAAGAGGAAACCGCTAAAAAGATCGGGAGGTAAACAGGAATGGGTTCCTTTGAGCGGGATTGTGGCGCAAGGTTAATCAACTTCTCCTGGAGAGAATTCAGCTAAATACAGTACAGGACGAGGTACCTTGACTTGTTTGGCGGTAGCGTAAGGCAAAGATGGCTCTAAGTAATTCCATTGATGGCCATACAAGTTTACAATTAATAGAACTGGAATGAAATGTCTTCCTCAAAATAAGATACACCAAGCTCAAGGCACCACACTTCACGACTGGCATGCAGAGATTCTAGTAGTCAGATCCTTTAACCGATTTCTTCTTGAGGAATGTTTCGCTTTGGTATCTGCTGCAAAGATTTCTTCAGACTTTATTCGATTAAGGAATCCAGAGGAGATCACTACATCACATCCCCAACCGTTCACATTTCATAATGACTTAGAATTGCACATGTACTGCTCCGAAGCTCCTTGTACGTATACCTTTATGAATGCAATGTACTAAGATTCTTGCAGGTGGAGATGCCAGCATGGAGCTCACTATAGCAGCTCAGGAAGATTCTACTCCATGGAACCTTCCCTCAACCTCCAAACAGGTTCTATCTCCTCAGAGCTTACTAGATGGTCGCTCTTACTTTTCTCAACTCGGGACTATACGTCGAAAGCCATCGCGTCCCGATGCGCCACCAACTCTTTCTAAATCCTGCTCGGATAAATTGGCCCTAAAACAATGTACATCACTGCTCTCCTCAGCCGCATCTATCCTTATATCACCGGAAAACTTGTACATTAACAGCCTCGTGATTCCAAAATCACAGATGTGCGAATCTGCTTGCATCCGGGCATTCTCAGTATCAGGGCGTCTAGCACCTCTCAAAAATAAGATAATTGATAAACCATGGATCGGAGGCTACCAATTTAGTCCATTCCTCGTACTTCCAACTTCGCTAGAATTTGCATTTTCGCGTCGCCAAGAATTACTGAGTTCCGGAAGCCTCGTGCCAAGCAATCTGGCGTCCTTTTCTACCATAAATAGTAGCGGAACTCTAATTGGAGGCACACTTCAAGGCCGCAAGCAATTTTCTTCCAAAGGTGCAGCTCCTATGTGCAAGCGCCAACTATGGCATCTCTCTTCTAAAATTGCAGGCTACGTGAGAAACACATCCACAGAAAATTTGCTAAATGCAGCGACATACTTCGAGCTTAAGCAATGTGATTCATTAATCAATCGTCGTGCGATCAAGTCCATGGTAAGAGGTGTGCTAGGAGGAAATCTAGGTGAACGGGCATGGGTGCCGAATTTTGGAGGGGAAGAATGGCCGCTACACTGTAGCTTCTAAAATTAGCGACAACGAGATATTTGGGAAACTTGCGTGTTATTTCTTTTACAACAACAAGGGTAGACTCAATAATGAGCTCCGTGAGATAAATTACTGTTGCCACCCACAAGAGTCAACTATCTTATAATGGAGTCCGCAGAAACCCATAAATTATGATCTTTATTGTAAATGTGTCAGTGCGTAGCAGGGATAACACACTCTAGATGCTGTATCAGGCTAGCCATGTTGATCGTGTGGGAGCGAGATTAAGTGTGGTACTTATAGAAGACTTACTCCCGTCAGATTCTAAGGCTAGTTAATCAAATCCCTGTTGAACCTACCTTCTTGCTTCCCTTGCATATTAGTATTCTGTTGATGATAATTACATTGTGGTGTGCTCCTTTGAACAATCTTTACGTTCTAAACTTAAGCGAAACTTCGATGGTTTGTTAATACGACCAATTAGCATATTTGTTAGGATAAAAGCCTAAAATCTGTACGCAGAGACTCCTAAAAACCTGAGATTAAAACATTCTAGAAAGCCAAGATTCAAACATGAAAACGAGTGACATTGAGAGTTTTCGACAAGATTTTAACTACGGGAATTACGTCGACTCATTCTAGTCTTGAACTCAACCTGCAGAGATTTCATAGTTACCAAAAACAGTCGAAGTAATTTAGTTGTAGCAAGTTTCAAGCTATCAATGGGTTCGAAGTACAGAAAGGCTGTAGGCGGCAGAAAGAGACGTCACTTTGTGGGGCAAATATGGTTAAGTTTGGTTTATTGTCAAAAAATCAATGGATAAAGTGAGATAAATAAATTATAGCATAATCATCATTCAATTTTGTAATTATTTGTTAGTTAAGCTTGTAACTGTGCGTACGGTAGTCGCTTTGGTTGGTTAAATTGATTGACTGTGTTCTATACCATACACGACTCACCCTGCTGCTAAGCTATCTAAGGAGGGCAAGACTGAACACCTGTACGCGGTGTCCTCTACGAACCTGGGAGTGGAATATTCTCCCAGAGCTAAGTTCTGTCAAATTTCGCAATATCAAAGAAGTTGGCCCACGAGGCAATGATTCAAAATACTCCACCACGTCGTTTTTTCGCACCCAACGAGTTTGACTCCTACCTAAGTCTCATCAAGTCTACAAGTACGACCTAGTACATCCTCATCCCAATGACCATACCTCTCGTCGACTTTCTCTGGCCTCTACCACCAAATACACGCCCACGCCGATATTTATACCCGACGGAGGAAGCAAAGCGTCGAGCACAAATCTGGGAGATAGCTCTTTGGGATGGACGTGAGAGTGATCAGGACAAGTTCACAAGATGGTGCAAAAGAAGGGTACGTTTTCGACATACGTGAAATTTTGAATTTTGGCAAGAGTTTTACGAATTGAGCTTTATGCGCGCCAAGACTTCGCTTGCGAGAGTGCAGCTGACACTATAAACACAAGCAAACGATGGAAAGTGTTGTGGTCCGCCTCCTGGTGGTGTTCTCTGGTATGGTTTGAGTAGCCTGGGCACCTACTCCACTTGGGAAGGAGACGCCTTAGATCATATTTCGCGCGGAGAAAAGTCGGAAGATGATGGAGACATGTCTGGATAATTCAGGGGTTTTGAGACGTTCCCCTGAGTGGGTATTCACGGATAAGGGTTGACTTGGGGTGAAGAAAAAGCCGCCATAACTTCCCAGTGGTACTTGCAAATGAAATCCGAGGCATGAGTGCTCTCCCTCTACGTTGAATCATCTATTCTATTCTGTACTTTTCTTTGATATTGTGTCATAGCTAGATAGCTGCATACGCAATTCAAATCTGATGCAAAAAAATAAAAAAATGTAGGGGTCATAGATGATCGAATATATCAATGAAACGTTATATGAATGGGACTGATGGTTTACGACTGTCCGGTGCTTCACTGTCGGCGATGCTATATGCGCGATAGAAAGCTATGTAGACTTGTCGTTTTTCCTCCCCCTTCTTAACTACTACCTCGTGCTCTATTTGTACTTACGACCCGTGCCTATCCGATACCCTTCATATGCCGGCGCTCGATCCTCAGTTCGTTATCGCGCCGCCTTTGCCACTGGCTACCACTATCTTTACTCCCATGTGCCTCTCTCTCGACCGTATCCCGCTCATGCTTACTCCTGGTGTCGTTAGTTCGTGTCCAGACTTTATCTATCGGCGTGGCGCAAGGCGCACCGACGATTCACGGTTTCGGTGTCTGGAACCTCAATTATTCTCTTTCCCACTTTAGAGCTGTCCTAAGCTCGTTGTCTACGGGTTTAGGGGGTTATTGAGATTAAAATCTTATTGACCTTTTAATGTTCCGTCTATCTAGATTTAACATGTTCCGGCTGCCACACCATAGACTTTGAACCGGTTGTCCATCGCGAACGTGCGCCGGGAATAAGTTCGTCCCGTTATATCTGTTTACCAGTTTGTATCCCCCTGGCGAGATAAGTGAATATGTGTTATTGGCATGACAGGATGAGATAGCCCAAGGTCCGTCATAGAAGGGCTTAAATTTGTTTCTTCTTTGCCTAACTCTAAGTACCCAGTATCCTACTGCGAAGATTCTAATCAAAGCCTTAGATTCTTGTAAATACTCGCGGGTTTTCGTTCTAGATATTCTAACACTGCTTACGTATGACCGAGCGACAGTGTAATGAGGAAGCATTATGATTTCATTGTGTTATGACTAGCTAATTATTATGTACTGTTACAGTACATCACGTGATATGCCTGATTCCAACACTACACCCCCCCAGAAATCGAATGCTTTAAATCTATGTTTATTTGAGCGCAGAACGCTGTGTGTTTTATACGCTGCAGGGACTTGGTTAGTCCGTCAGCTTTACATTGATTTGTGGGTGTATATTTAAGTTCTAAGATACCGTCTCTAATAGCTTCACGCACAGTAGATTCTCGCATCAGGAAGTGCCGATTTCGCGCTGAGACTTTATTGGAGTTAGCCGTGATCATAGCTGCTGTGTTATCTACTTGTGTGACGATAGGTGAGGAACTGATGCTGAAAATTTCTTCGTATAGAGGTCGTATCCATTGTGCAGCGACAGCTAGCGATGTTAAAGCAGCATATTCTGCTTCGCAGGTGCTTTGTGCTGTAACTGTTTGCTTCTTTGACCACCATGCAATTGGAGAGCCACCAACGAGAAAGATATTCCCAGTTGTGCCTTTGGAGGATGTCGCGCTACCCCAGCTACTATCTGATGAGGCCGTGAGGGTTATATCTCCTGATTTAGGATAAAATAGGGCGGCTACTTTGGTACGTGAGATGTATCGGATTAAGTGCTTTAAGGCTAGAATTGCGTTGTTTGATGGATGATGTACTCGACGAGAGAGTCTATTTACAGCGTATTGAATATCTGGTCGGGTCATTTTTGCTATGTGTAAGAGCGAACCGACAACCGAGCGATATTTGTTAGCTTCATCATTAGTACAAGGCAAATCTGTGTCGCAGTCGATTAGATTATCATCAGCGACTGGCGTACTGGCGCCTCTGCACATATCCATGCCCATGTCATTGCATAGCGCTTCTATTTTGTCCATTTGATCAATTCGGATGCCGTCTGACGTTTGACGAATATTTATTCCGAGGAATTTTGTCATCTCTCCCAGGTTTTTGATTTGAAATGCCTGTGATAGCATGTTAATAGCTTCGTTTATTTGTTCATTAGTTTTTGCTAAAATCATAAAATCGTCCACATATGTCGAAATTATTGTGTTGTTTCGGCGGAAAACGTTATTGTCGTATTTTAAGGATTTGAAGTCTGCGTCATGTAAGACTTTCCTTAGTTTTTGTTGCCATCGTCTAGGGGCTGTTCTTAGTCCGTAGATGGCTTTGTTCAATTTGCAAACAAGATTTCCTGGCTTTTCCCTTTTATGTGGTTGTTCGATATAGATAGGATAATCGAGATCAGCATGGAGAAAGGCTGCAGTAATGTCTACATGATTGATTCGTAGATCTTTTGAGGCAGCAAGTGCAAGTAACATACGCATAGTGGTCGGCGGAAGAACATCGGCGTATGTGTCATCTGCGTGAGGTTCAGAGAACCCTCGGGCGCACCATCTAGCTTTTAGTTTTCCATCTGACTTTTCTTTCAATGACCAGATACCAGTCATTAATTTTCCTTTGGCTTCGGCTCGGGGAACTAAATTCCACACATTATTTCGCATCATATTATCAATTTCTGCATCCATAGCATTAATCCAAGCTTCAGCTTTAGGACCTGACAATGCGTTGTCGATGATGAGACGATTGTTAATCCTCACGGAAAGAACTTGTTCTGTTTTCAGAGGAAATATTTTCTCGTGAGCGCGAATATCCCTTCGAATTATTGTTCTTCCTGTTTCAGGATTGAGTATGATGTGGCCTCCGGTGAATTCTGTCCCAGCATATATACCTTCTTTGGCTTTGGAGTTCAGCTTATTTTGATCGGGATCTAGCCAGAATACTCTACAGCCGAAAGAGTGGAGACTCTGAATCTTTGGTTTTTGTTGAAAGACAGAGAAGTAAGGGCTATGAGGGGATATTTTATTAGGCGTCATATTTAAAATATTGATTGATGCTGTTAGAATAACTGGCCATAAGCGTAGCGGTAGCCCCGACTGTAAATGTAGAGCACGCATTTTCTCTATGACTGTTCGAACGTTTCTTTCCGCAATTCCATTTTGTTCTGGAGCGTGTGATGACGATCTATGCCATTCAATTCCACGACTGAGAAGCTCTTCTTGAAGGTGTGAATTGGAGAATTCTGTACAACAATCTGTATGGATTTTAACCGGAGTCTTATTAAACTTAGTTTTCAGGTGCTCCAGAAAGTAACGTATTTGAGTAGGAACAGTTTTCTTAGTGTAGACTGGCCATGCCCATTTATACGATGTGTACTCATCCACGGCGAGAAGGAACCAAGTAGCGGTGGGCACTGATTTTTCAGTAGTTGTAGGAGAGAAGGCTTTTTGACCACCAACTAAGTCCATATGTATGACATCAGCAAACGTAGATGCACTACGTATTATCCCGTGACCTTTAGAGGTTGTAATCTTAGTTTTGGAGCATGTTTCGCAATTGATAGGAGCTTTGTAACCCTTGATTCCGGCCATTTTTAACGTAGCCTCTTGTGCTTTGAGTCCAGGATGACCAAGAATTGTATGCCAGTCACGTTGTATTGAATAAATTTGAGGCGAATTGTTGGTGTTATCAGCAGGTTTCCATATCAAGCGACCTGAGACACGACTAAAGTTTGCACAGATTGATCCATTTGGACGGAGTAATTGCACATCTCGATAATTACGTGGCCAGCATATGGAGTAGCCTTGCCGCTCAAGCTGTGCTGTTGAAAGAATTCTAGTCCTTTGACCTGGCATGTAAATTGCACCTTCAAGTCTATCGGTTTTGTTATCTATAGCGGGGAGTAGGATATCACCACTGCCGGTGATGTTTACTTTCCCCCCTCCAGCTACGCGTACAGTTTGTAGGGAATTGATATAGGAGGAGAAATCATCTTTATTACCAGACACGTGGAAGTCTGCTGCTGTATCTAGCTGATATACAGGTTTATCTTCTAATTTATCTAACGATAGAATTTGTTTTCTTATCCCCCCTTTTTGTTCCTTATACGCTTTCTTTTTCTTCCGGCAATCTTCTTCTTTGTGGCCAGCAATATCACAATAGTTGCATTTAAAGGTATTGTGAGGCTTCTTTGCATGTGATTTGTGGTCACTCGGTGGTGCCCACTCAAGGCATTCTGAAAGAATCTCGTCGAAGGAAAAATTGCGACAGCGGTGAGAGAGTTCTGGGTGGATGTTGGAGATTCGATCTAGAAGTACGTATCTTATTTGAAATTCTACCTCTGTTGTTATGTTAGAATGTTCCCGGAGATCCTGGTATCGTTTCTCATATTCTTTTATGAAACTTTGAATAGAACATCCCTTTTCTGGCTTGTAATCCCAGAACCGTGCGACAATCTTGACCACGTTGGTGTGTATCTTGGCGCGGCAATTCCGCACAATGTGACTTAGAATTATTCTAGGAGAGTCACTGGGAGCAGAGTGTATTTGTGGGGCGGTTTCTCTTAGCTTAGCTGCCCACCAATTTGACCACAGACGAACTGATTTTGTCTGGGGAGGGTATTCGAGAAATGCCGCCGACGTTTGTGTGAAAGAAATTAGATCTCGAATCGCTCTCAGCCATTGATTCCAATTCGATTGCTTCAGGGTTGGAATTGGAGTCATTTTGTCAATGCTTTCTAGATGTGCTGTAAGCGTGTACAATTCAGTTTTCTTGGCGGATAACTTTATTGAATCTTGGACATCTGGAGCCGTGGCAAATTGTATTTTGCCAACAGTGATGTCCTTCTCTGTGCATTTTGACGCTGGATTGTAGGCGTCTGTGGTTGCCTCCGTAGAGGGCTTTGACGATGAGTCCGACATGATGTGCGGGAATCGCTGCGATAATCGAAGATTATCGTGAAGAGGGAAGCAAGAAATCGATGTCGTGCGATTAATTCACGGACGCTGTGTTAACAGTGGAAGTGACGAGGGCCATAACCTGTAATGAGGAAGCATTATGATTTCATTGTGTTATGACTAGCTAATTATTATGTACTGTTACAGTACATCACGTGATATGCCTGATTCCAACACTACAGACAGGTGCTGGGTGCAATTTTACTAGTTCGTGTGCCCATTCGGATTGTTTCGCGTTAGTGGCCTCACGAGTATATACTGGATATGGGATTTCGCTGTCAGGGAGCTGCGTGCCGAAAAGTAGAAAGAATGGGCTATACCCGGAAGGTGCGATACGTCTGTTGTAGATCGAAACAGCTCGAGGAATGGTTTCCGTAAGTCGCGAGTCTTAGTTGTCGAGAGTTAGGCGTATCAGAATGTTTTTGAGAACACCGTTAGTTTGCTCCACTCTTCCGTTACTCTGTGGAAGACTGGATGTCGTGTGGATGAAGGTGAGTTTGTATCTGGTTTGGAATTGTAGAGCCTCTTTTCCTGTAAAGTATGCGGCGTTGTCGGAAACTATCTGTTTGGGTGTGCCAAATACGTGGATGATGTATCGGAGTAGCTCAACTATATTTGCGAAATCTGACTTTGGCACGATGCGGGACTAC